CTGGCTTGTTGTCGCAAGTTCATCTTAGCTAATGACAAGCATAGCTGAAATCAATGATGACGAGACAAAAAAGACTGATCAAATAATCACGATGGTACAGCACGTTAACACCTTGACCCCAATTATCAATTTAAGATAAATAATATATAAATTAGCGGACAATTTCTGTTTTAAATAAAAGAAATATAACGTACAGCACCGTTTTACACGTAATTACAGGTTTGATCAGTTACTAATCTCTTCCGTTATTAACATCGTCGAAAGATGTAAAGTTTTTACGATCCGAGTGAACTACCCCATGTCGATGATACTCAAAACTATGTAGCTAAAGTACGCCTGTGCTACACCAAGGACAGTTTTTTGTAACGAAAAAAATTGACGTAGGTGATGGCATTGCGCCGTTTTCAGACCTCCTTACTTGAGGGAAATCGGCCCAATTTCCCTCCCAATATCTATTTTAAGATCCTATGACAAGAGACTGCAAACGTATCATGTCGCGCCAAGTCTGTGCGCTGTACGTAACATCGACCGTAGCCTGGAACGAGAACGTTGGCTAAAAGTGGCACGCTCTGTTGTTTTCAACTTGGCGCGCTGTGCCACGCAGATCTTAAAGTGGAGCACATATTTGCTCAGTATCAAAACATCTCCCCATGGATGTGAACAGACCCGTCCGAAAAGATTTTTGAAGCGAAGAAGTAAAATTCTGATGAGCCGACGGATGATGTCGCCAACAGCTATAAAAATATAATGATCGAAGACACTTTTCCAGAAAAGACGCGATATCAATGCTTAAACGCTCTTGACGTCGCCCGGAGCCGTTTGTGTACTTACTGCAGCATGCAAATTTGGCATCAAATTTCGCCACTAAACCAAAATCGAAGCGAAGCGAAACAGAACCGCAGGCGTGTTGTGCTTTGGGCCCGGCTTCTTTACAGAAAAACTATAGACGCCACAATGAAACCTGACATACAACATTTTGAAAACAATATTCAGCAGCACCAGATGAAGAACATGACGGGGCGGTGTCACACTATGTGGGGTCAAGCTACACCTTTCTCCAAACACTGCCTCGTTAATCCGTATAGAGTTGATCCTTTTGATTATCTGTTGGAAAGGTCTCGGATGTCATCAAGCTCTAACTGAATACTCGTTTGAACGCATTCTGCACGCGAAGCAGACGAGTGTATCATCTTGCTCCAGTGTATTACTGTAACTACCTTCAATTATAAATGGTTGTACTTCAAGAAGGGAAGTAATAAAGAATGTATGATTTCTTACTATCCCGTTATCCCCTAGCGTTCTCGTTCTTCTTTTAAAATAAGCTCATTTGTCCCTGTTCAGGAAACAGTTGTTAATTTGCAGTAGTTTTGAGGCTAAAATGTGGTTGGATGTCACCGTATTTGTTTTTGTGCAGAAATAAAACACCCTAGGCATGGGGGGGGAGTGGCGGTATTTGTCAAGCACTATTTTTAAATTAATGTGTGGTGATATTAAAGCAGTAGCAGTAGAGATCAATAAAACGAAAACTCAACGACGGTAACTAAACTAGAATTACTTGACCACTATCGCAAGGATCATCTCCCAATTAGGCTGAGCTGCGCTGCGGGCATCACGCTGACGGTCTTACCTTGCGTTTCCACTACGACGTTGCCTTATTGCTAGCGAGAAATGTATTTTTCTTACGATATATTTAAAATTCAGCGGTTTTAGCCTAATGATCGCGAACAGAGCCTTAGAGGGATACGGGAGAAACCCTTAATTAAAGTCGATAAATAAGTTTTTTTTTTCTATTTCCCGCTTACTTTATGGAAAGAGCGGTAGAATAGCGCAGACAGAATCAGCAAATCCACAGACACTACAGTTGAATTGCACAGAAAAGTTGGTATACCAGATAAGGGCCACTACTGAAAGCATGACCCCGAAGACGAGAATTACGTTCTGGAGAACGTTGCGGGTCCGTTCGCTGGTGAGCTCCTCGCAAATACTGAGTGGCCACTTCGCGGGCACCCCGCTCGGGTTTGCTTCTGCTACGCTCCTCGCACCCGCTCACATCCGCCCTCTATTAAAAGCATATTTTTTTCAAAATCTGTGCTCTTCACGGATTTGGCTGTGCGATTACCTTTCCTTCCTTACATGATCTGAACCATTGTAAATAATGGGCGTATTTTTGTGTTGTGAACTATGCGAGTACAATTGCTTGTTCTTTACTATTGTGACCCACTTTGTAAAAGTCGTCTTATCGTCAGAGGAAAAGGATCACCAATCCTTTTTAGTTGGGAATTCTTGTATAGGTTAACCAAAGAGTTGAAATTAAGGTAAATTTCAGAGCTTCTTCGAGCGAAGCACGACTTTGATATTAACGAAAGAGATTACTTGAAGTACATATTTGATTTGTCGTTTTTGTCTCGTCATCATTAATTTCAACTGTGCTAGTCATTAGCTAAGACGAACTTGCGACAACAAGCCAGAACCACCGGCAATACCAGAATCCATGAAATGACTTCCGTGAAGGCATGTTGACAAGTCCAATACAGTAATCAAGCCAATTTCCCCATGAATAAAAAGAAACGCAATCATTAATAACGTGTAACCCATACATCTGGTGGTGGCAGACAAAGCCGTTGTTTCGCCCGAAACAGATTCATGGCTATCGGCGACAGCTGGAGTCCAGCACAGCGTGGCAGCGATGATGGTGATGAGAGCCAAACTCTTTAGTACGTTCATCCTTGGTCGCTTGGTTCGCCTTCGTCGAATTGGATATGAGCTTCTGGACAGACCATGTCACTTGCCTACACCTCCCTCTTACCACGCTTATTATAAAACAAGTTAATCTCGTTTTCCGTTCAGCTACCTACAAGGACTCAGAAATGGCTCTTTAACTAAATCATTTTAAAGTTAAAATCCAGAGCTTGGCAAAAACATGGCTTTGTTTTCGATGACAGGGTAGATTTCGAGGTTTATTACATCACAAGTTGTCACGTCTGCTAGGAGCTGCCTTTAAGTCCGAGGAACACGCAACATAACGCCGTCATACTAAAAAGAGTTTCTGTCCATGTCAAAAGAGTTTCCAAGGATACACATGATCACAGCCATTTTTAACCGAACAGCTACGTTTGAGCCTGTTCTTGGTTTTCATTGTGGACTGGAGCCAATGACTTGATGAGGTCAAACATCATTGCCTGTTGCTGCTGAATAGTAGCGAGTAGTTGTGCATGTTGCTCTTGTTGAACCTTCTGTTGTTCATGATGCAGTTTCTCCAGCCGCGCTACCTGCTCCTCCGAGTGACGCTTCTGCGCAGCCAACTCACGCTCCATCTTGCGCTCCATCAGCTCCAGGCGGCGTTGAGCCATCCGCTCTCTCTCTTTAGCAAGGTCAGGCAGCATAGTATTCACAGCGACAGGATTTTGTCGAGCGGAAGGCACAGACTCCACTACAACTGGCAAGTTGTTCCCTTTCTGTGCGTTCTCATACTCTCCCATTTGCTTCGCCACTTCAGCGATCATCGCGCACTTCCTGTCGAACTCCTCCTCTGTGCCAGATTTCCTCAACGCCGTCGTATTGCCAGCCTTTAAGTGGCCCAACAGCAGATTCAACCTCGCCTGACATGCGCCCGCTGTTTTATCCAGTCGGAAAGACTCCTCGGCTCGCAATTTCTCCGTCACTTGCTGCCATCCGTCCATCACGTACGGGAACGTCCACGGCTTGATGACCAGCACCTGTGTCAGCAGCAAAATGTCGTCCGACGACACAAAATGCGAGCGGTTAGTGGTAGCAGTAGTCGTGACATTTGCAGCTTTCTTCCTGGCCGGCTCCGAAGTCTCTGTATCTGTAGCGATCCCGTTGTCCAGTGCAGACATTTGCTCTGCAATCGTCTGCTCTGCAACTGTCTGCATAGTAGCGGCCTCTGTAGCCGCACGTTTCAACTGCGACCGATGCAGTCCGTGTCGCTTCTTGAAGCGATGCACCCAGGCCACCGACACGCTCTCTTGGCTGCCTCGCGTGCGCTTGAGGATCTCGTTTGCTTTGGTCCAGAGCTCCGAGTCGCTCAGTATACCTCCACTGCTGTCCAGTTGCTTGAGGTCTACGCCTAACTGCGTCGCTCGCGCCACGATTAAAGTGTACAATTCCTGTTCCATGTCCGGATAGCGGCCGCTCTGGAAGCGCGTGGCTTCTGGGTTGGCGCATACTTCCTCGGGTGCACGCACGATGTGGCCCACAGTCGAGCGAGCTACCCACTGGCCAAACGCAGCATAGGCCCACTCACGTAGCTGCTCCTGCGTCAGCTCGGGGTGTTGCTGGTGGTGACGCCGCAGCCTGTTCTTATCGGCGATGGTCAAGTGATGGCGACTGCGAGAGGCTGACATGGCGCTACGCTGTTGTCTGTGATCGAAGAGCACAAAGCAGAAGTGCTCTTGCGCCATAGAAATGGACGTGTAAAAAACGGGAGTGAACTTAAAATTTGCTGTACAACTGTCGTATTTCTCTTTGTCGACAGTGTATCCATTTCTAATTGGAACGATCAATGTGGCAGCAAGAGCTGCGATGGATGCGGCACGTTGTGCGTGTGCAGGACCAGGAGCTTCGCCTAGACCGCTGGTTGCGGCGCCAGTTCCCGACACTTCCACAGAGTTTCCTACAGACGCAGCTACGCAAACGCAAGATCCGGCTACAGTCCGCTACGACGTCGAGTTTGCAGGCAGCCCGAGCCAATTCGCTGCTGCTGCAGGGCTCCACAGTGGCCATCAACGCGTTTCTCTTCCAGTCCAACTGCACTCGCTCGTAGTGCAACAAACAGAGCATGGCATAACGTTACAACATCATAATCCGACCACGGCACAAGACAAGACGACATTGCAGCAGGTGAACGGACTAGCTGTGCAGGACGGCTCGGCGTTGAATGAGTCGTAGCTGCTTGCCGTGGATTGCAGAGCTTATAAGAAACGATTTCACAATATTGAAAAAAAAGCAGTCCGGGGAGCATCAACAGTTGCAAGTGGTGCATCGATTGGATAAGGAGACGTCGGGGGTGCAGAGGCTGGCTCGCTCTCGACTTGCTACGAAGTGGCGTCGTACAAAACCTATGAGGCGTTTGGTTGTATCAACAACCAGGTCAACAGTATGGACCATGTCACTCGAGTTCCATTATATTTGAGGGGCGAGATGACATACCCACACATTGAAACGGGTGCTGAGACAGCGTACGCAGCCAGTAGATGCAACTCCGGAACTCCGATCCAGCACTGGACGCAAATGCCAAGCTACCAAGCGTCCATTGCGACCAAGAGTGTACCGATCGTGGGGACAAAACCAGTAGGGAGGACAGAGTCAGTCACGGATATCCCATCGACTGTTTCTACATACGAAGCGCATTCGATTCCTACGCCCGGTCAATGCTGACCGTCAGCCTGACGGGTTAAGTGGTGCGAGCTGAACATCGGCAATGCAGAATAAGATCGGAGCCTGAGAAGCGTCTGCGAAGGTTTGTCGAGCGCGCTTGCCTTTTTTGCTGCGTTCCGAGCGGGTTCGATGAAAGTTGCACTGGTGGCGACACTTGGAGCGCATCAATGCAAGTCCACCGCAGCACTGCACACCGAGAGATTGGTACATGCAGCATTACCGCGTCAGATACAATGAATTGAACACGCTGGGGGTTAATAATGTGTGGCTGCATGGCGCAAGACGAGCGAAACGGTTTGGTAGCATGGCGTGCGACGCCGGACTGGCTCAGAATGTGCTATATATCGCCCGTGTGTGGTGCTAATCTTGGGCTCCAAACGTGCGTCCGTTCACTCTACGTGTAGCTTAATTGCCTCTCTCCTGTGTTGATAATTAACGGACATCCTCGACTTCTTGCCACAGTACTTGCCATCCTATCTTTGGGTGTCGCCGTGCGATCGCCACACTCCGACCAACTGCAACATCACCAAGACAGAATTAGCTTACACGTTAACCGCCGCAACCTTAGTCTGCGGGTGGTTATCTCGCCTAGCGCAGCACCAAAAGCTCGCGTTGCAGCCGAGTCGCCTCTATCGAAGCCGAGGCGAACCTTTGCTCGCGATGTCGTGCCGTCGCCCAGCGATCTTTGTCCATTTTCTCATCTTGGCGCGGCGTCTCGATGAGATGCAATTTGTAGGCAGCCTTTCTTACGTGTATTTTTCGACTCATGCGCGCCGGCTCGGAGGTGGCCGGAAATAGAGAGGAAGGGCTTACAATGCGCGACTTTGCATACGAAGCAGCACCCACCGCTCCTACCGACCGACGCACTCTGCAATCTGCTAACTGCCCGGGAGACCGACGTCAAGTATGAACCAGCTCGAAACTTCTGCCCACGGCTCACGGGGGCTCCTTGCGGCGACAGCTGCAGAGTCGACCAGCAAAGTCGGTGGGCCTCCTGCGCCGTCGGTGCTCGCTAAAGCGATGAAGCGGCACAGTCGTCCCGAAGTCGACCACCACGACGACGACAAGCAAACGCAGCAAGAGCAAGACAACGGCAACCAGCTCGTATTCAGCGACGCGTGCGAGCCCATGGTCAACTACGACGGTTGCAAGTCCGTGGGTAAGCCGTTTAGCATGACCTCCCAGCTGGCCGACCACGAAGACGACGTTGTGAACGTCCGCTCGCCCATTATCTGTAAGTCAAGCTCGAGTGCTCGAAGTGCCGCTCTGAGCCCAACGTGTGTGTCTTCACTGGCTCGAAATGACGCCGTAAAAAGCGACTCCAGGGAGCCTTCGTGGACAATTCAAGAGTTCCAGGAGTACTTGGGTATGCTAGAGCTGCTACAGGACGTGTGCTGTACCTCTGAGGGCGGCGAGATGCGTCTATCGGCCGACAATCTCGGTCAAATGGAGCGGCTACTCACGTCGCTCTTGCCTCAAGGGGTGTGATCGTACATACAACGATTCGTGTTTCTTAGCGTTAGACATTCTGCATTTCTACACATTAGCCGTTTGTACAAGTTAACTCATCGAAATAGACGCGGCTGCATTTCGTGATACGCGGACTCCATTTGGTTGATGATCCTTCTGTCGGATGCATCGGAGTGATGCAATGTAGGGCTCTCGGTAGCCGGATCCAGATCCAATTTGTCCGGTCGGTACACTGTGACTTTATCCTGTGGATGTGGTAGCGGACCACGCACGATCGAAGCTCCTGCGTGTCGAATAGGAGACGCCTTCACGTCCTGCTTCTGATTGCCACGCTTCACGCCATTCTTCTTCGATAACGTTGATAATTTCTCGGTAGGTTTCGTGGTGTCATCCGAATGTACAGTGACTTCTGTATCGCGTTTTGGAGGCATGAATAGACAGGGAGAATACGAGTTAGTTCTCCCGTTTAACTGTGAAATTCCTTCGGGAGTTAGCGTGCGAATAGCATCGTTGCCATCCGATGCTGCGCGTGCGAGCTCGGCCTCCATAGAGTGAGAGATCCGGTCGTCTGGATCGAATTTGAAGATAAGTTTGAAGTCGATATCCAGCGCCGGAGGCGTTGACGCTTGAACGCTTGCACCATTGGTGTTTTCTTCCATCCAGAACGTGTATACTTGGTCTCCTGGTAGCAACGCGTTGTGCTGTAGTTGTGCACGTCCGCCTTTGAGGTAGAACCGGGAGTGACTGTCGAATAGTACGGCTTCAGGGACGTCTACTTTCTGCATCCCCGTGGCATCGCATACTCGTACCATGAGTTTACCTCGGCCTTTCACGCTCTCCACCAGTAACTGCTCGAACTTGCGGATCATGAACACTAAGGGGATGCTAGTGGGCGTTAAGACGCGTCTCTCGCGTCGGAAGAACCGCAACGGACCGTCGTCTGTAGCGGTAGGAAGCGCTACGTCTTGTGGTTCCTCGTCGTCCGATTTAGCTGAAGGTTCTACCTCTTTCTTCTGTTGTACAGGTGGAGAGGGCATGTTGGCGAACATACTGACACGTTTGGTGTTGCTACGCCCCAAGTCGACATCGTTGACTGACCGTCTACGAACTGGTAGTCCAGGTGGGGCTTTGGTAGTCGGCCACGACTGAGGTGGCTCCCCTGATGGGGTTGCTGGGAAAAGCTCGTCGTATAGATCGAAGTAGACCGCGTCGTCCTTGAACGATTCCTCGTCCACATTGCGTTGTCGTACAAGTTTTCCTGTACGATACCAGTCCAGAATCATCTCGAAGTGTTGTGGATTGCGGTCGATGAAGAAGGCGTCGTCCAGACAACTGATCTTGCCGCATCCGCACGTAATGATCTGGTTAAGTCTCTTACGAGGGTACTTGGCGATCAAACTCTCTTTGCAGCGGAAGAGTTTGCCTCCGACGTCGAACGCTACGATTCGAGTGGGCTTCGTGTCGGGGCCTCTTAAGTCCGAGATACTCTTCGAGTGCCACGGCACTCGCGTACGCCCCACTGTATGATCCGGGTCCAAACTGCGGAAATCAAAGTATGCTCCATGGCTAGTGGCTCTCAGTAGCACCGGGAACTTTTCTACCGCGCAGCTCGTTGTGCTTGGGTTATCAGAGTCCATGCTCTCGGTGGATTCGTCGTTCGAGCGGGTTGAGGTGAGATCGGCCTCACTTCGTCTCGTCTCGATGGTGTTCTCACTCCAGTCAATGGAGATAGTCAGGCCGTGGTCTTTCTCGCTGGTATCGCTGCGCTCCGTGAACATTTCGTCCAGGAGATCGTCGTAGTTGGTCACGACGTTGACATCTTCGTTTTCATCTCCGTCTTTTCGCCTGGTCATGGACTTTTTGGAAGTGATCTCTCTGCCTCCACGACAGAAGTGGAATGAGCAGGCAGGCAGGCAGTGCACGAAGGCGAACGCTATTCTTCTTCTACAGTGCGTGTCACTGTGAAAGGTCGTTATTTGAGGGCATAGGCTTTGGTAGTTTTGGTCCATGTTGAAGCCAGGCTCAACCGTCCACTTGTCCGATATAAAAGGATGCGATAACTACAACTGCAGATTCAGGAGATACATGGGTTGACACTATTGCATCGCTACACTAGGCGCCTTTGGGCCATTCGCTCTCATCTTTTGGGCCATTTCGCCTTGCCGTAAGCGATCATCATTTAGCGATGACTCTAGTGAATCACTAGTAGTGATCTCTCTTGATGCAACTCTTATCAGTTTGCTACCAGTGACATTTCAAAACCTGAGTCTCAATCGGTTACGGGGAGAACAGTCGGTCGTTGCAGCGCAGAGAAGTACTGCTAGTAGTAGCTACGTATGCTTTGGTATTAGAGACTCTCCTAGAGGGTCTTTTGATATGGATGGAGCCCAAGGAAAGCTGTTTCAAAACGGATAGGATGGCAGCTGGGGCTGCAGGGGTGTATTGTTCGCCGTGGTGATGGTGCATCTTATTTGCCAAATTGGTATCTTTGTCGTGCTGCTCAAGAAGTTGGAGACCACGAATATACATGGTACATGCCAAGTGCTCGTCTGATGGCGACGTTTTCAGGAAATAGTGGAGTGGTTCCCTCTCTCTTTTCGACACGCAGGATTCCTCTCCACAGTGTCGATCTGCGTGTTAGAGCCTTGCCAATCTTCCCATGGTAGATCCGACGTTTGCATCCAATGTACACAACATTTTTCCCGTGACTTGTATATGAGCTCGTGAAACTGAAAGGCACCTGATCTCTCCTGCAATTTTGAATCCAGTTCTTGAGCTCCCGGAGCGAGGGCGGAACTGTTGCCAGACACCGGTTCAGTGTTATTGTTCAGATGCAATGCAGTGTGTTGCAAACTGCTGTGTTTAGCCTCACATTTTCATGCCATGCTGGCAGCCAGATTTTCACCATTCAGATGAGCCAAAACTCTGACCTCCTGTCTGCTGCATGTATCAAGCCAACTCGCGATCTGCTGGCTACCTTCACTTTTTTTTTTACAGACGGGCTTGCAGCGCACGACAGCTTGTCGTGTGCTGTGTTCTCTCAGTGAGAGTTACGAGCCGCAACTACCGCTAAAACCTTGCAGCAATGTCCTTGTCCTTGCTGCATGCATACTCGCGATCTTCGCCTGACGTTGAAGTTTCCCTTAAAGCCAACCAATCCGCATCAATGATACTTCGTGCAACATTCCATCAATAGAAACATTCAAGCAACATAACTTAATGTAGGGAAACTGTCAAAGGCAAAATGACGCACCGGGCTGCGCTGCTCCGTTCGGCATTGTGCCTCACGACAGGTACCCAAGCATTGACCGCATGCACCAGATATAGTGCTGTCTAACGGCTCTTACTGTGCATCTTCCAGCGAAGCCACGGCCGTCACCCACGCTTTTCTGCTTCCCTGGACTCGAGTCAGCCCCGTGGCATGATACAAGTAAATTCGAGTGGGTCAAACACCTCGAGGCCAACCGCGAGACCATCACGAATGAGTATCTGGCGCTTAAAGCACAGCGCGATGCACTAGCCAAGAACTCGGAAGAGGCGGCCAATGAGGCGAGCGACTACAAGGTCTACGACAAGGAACACCAGCTGCACCAGGGCAAGTGGGATTGGCTCTCGTATGTGACCCAGGGCCGACGCCAAGCGGACTTTGCCGTACAATGCCCTAAGACAGTGGAGATTCTAGAGGACATTCCGGGATTTATGGCTGGACTGCCATTCGCCTACTCGTTCTTCTCCATCTTGAAACCCGAGGTGAGCTGCGATGATCGTGTAGTAGACTGTGGGAGGAGATTTTGACGTTTTTTGTGTGTGAAATAGTCGAGTATTAAGGCTCACTCGGCCCCATGCAACATCCGACTACGTTGTCACTTCCCGTTGATTGTCCCGGAAGGCTGCGGGATCCGTGTTGGTGATGAAACGCGACAGTGGGAAGAAGGCAAAGCGCTCGTATTGGATGGTACGAAACGTAAAGTTTATGCAGTAGTTCTCTGTTGGTTTTTGACATAAGTGAACCTGCAGACGCTTTTGATCATGAGGTATGGCACAACGGAAAGGAGGGAGATCGTGTGCTGTTGCTTTTCGACGTTTGGCATCCGGATCTTGTCCAGGGAGAACGCGAGGCAATCACCGAAATGTTCAAGGAGGCGAAGGAGAAGGGCTGGCTCAAGGACTACGAGTAAGAGGGACAGCATTCAAACACTCGCAAGCGTTGAGGATACTTGTTTATTCAAGGCAGTAGCTCGTCAAACCCGCCTCCACGTTTATCCGAACCATTTCCCCTAGCGTCTGCCCTAGTTGTAACACCAGGATACGTCGCTTTCTGCTCAGCATTGATCTTCACACACAAGTCGTGGACGTCTGCGTTGTCACCTACCTCGCGCTCACTACCGCTACTTGACGGTGATCTACGTCGCTTGGCCTTCCGTGAGTCGGATCCACTCTCCAGCCGTCGTCGCTTCCGTTCCCTCTTCTTCTCCTTACGCTTCCTCATCTCCACCAGCTTCTTGTAAAATAACTTCTCGGCACACGCACTACACGCTCGCACTTTGACCAAGCATCGCTTTCGCTCTCCATGCTCTATATATGCGAATAACAGCTCGTAGCTGTGCAACCCCGTGCGCTCATCGCACCGCTTGTTGCCGCATGAAAACTGCCCTTTGCCTGCTATAACCTCCGTCTCCGTGCGCCAGCGAAGCCCAATTTTGCCCTCCTTATAGCGAGATAGATCGGCCAGTGCGTATTCGCGAAAAAGCTGCCGGTAGTAGCGCACACTCATGCGGACTTGCCAGTCCGTCTCGCCCTTCTTGGCGTCTTCCTCATCGTCGCGGATGAACTGGAAATTCTGCTTGAGTACCTCCAAGTCGTTTTGTGACACGTGTTTGTCCCTGCGAGGGACTATGGAGCTGGCATCGCTGCTGACACTATTGCTACGGCGGGTGGAGGATGAGTACAGCCGCATGAGCTCCTGGTGGCTGCGGTTATAGTTAATTTTCTCGTTAGTGGCAGAGCATTGAAGGGTAAAAATGTATGCACAGATAGAGGTGATGGTGGAGAATATGATGAGAGCAATGGAGGACGGGTATTACCGGCGAAACATGCGCTCGGAGCCATGGGTGTCGTCGGCAGGAGTAGCAGGGGACACCATTAGATGAAAATGGAACTGGAGAACAGAATATATATGCTGTAGAATAGGAAGGCGAAAACAGGTCAGTTTCGCCAGTTCTCCACAGGATTTTTTGCACGAACAGCACACCAGGATGAGGACTCGGTGCATGGCTCAGTGAGCAGGGGCTCTGCTGAAAAAGATGGACTCGCAACATTGTGGTGGACACGCGAAGCCTTCACTGCAACGCTATTTAGCTGAACGATGACATCTGGACTCCCAAGTAACTCGGCAAGTTCGTTAACTTAAGGAAATCTACACTTTGATACACATGACAAGTTGAAACAATCAATCAACCCACGATGTGATTTCGCTGCTCTGAACTTGAAATCCGTTCGAAGAAGCACCATTCACCTTCGAAAACAGTGTGTCGAGCCATAATGAGTCCGTCAATGGCTAAAGGTGGTTTACCTTGATCTCGGTACAGCTTGACCACCACGTAAACCTACAGCAGATGAAAAACTTTGGGTGCAAAGCTCCAAGCATTCTGAACATCTCCGATTTGCGCTTCCAATCAATCTGAAAAATAATAAATCTTAAGAGGAAATCATTCCGTTCATTTTACTAAGAAGTAAACTCCTTCGTATAACTCAAAATCTAATAGCCGTGCAAACTGTATTTATTCATTTTACTAGAGCGTTTATAGGTTACTGTACTGTCCTTCTCATACCATAGTCATACCGTAGTGTGTGTGACAGGTGCTGTCCACTAGCCAAGATAACCTCCGGATGGCTCCAGCACTGCACCCACACTCTTCAATAGTCCGCCCACCCACTCCATCACTTCGTCCTCAATAGACGCGGGTCGGGCCAGCAACCATGATGCCCGCCGGCGGACCATCGTCCACTACAACCACGACGTCTCCGTCCACTACGTCCCCCGCCGCTTCATCTTCTTCTTCCTCTGCGGCGTCTCTCTTGACGTCCTCCGCATCCAGTGCGGGCTCCTCTTCCTCCGATGGCACGGAACTTCTCACCACATGCCTGTCCACCATCGTCACGTACGACTACGACTACGCGCTGTGCGTCATGAACTCAGGCTTCTTCGAGCTCGACTCGTCGCCCTTCGGGACGACCGCCACGGCCATTTCGTCCCTTATTACGGGCTCCAGCGGCAGCAGCTCCGTGGACTCTGGCTCCTGTACTCTCATGTGTACAAAACCGACGATGTCTGCGTCCAGTTCCTGCTGCTCAGCTGCTAATACCGTCAGAAACTGTCCGCAGTCGTCGTCCAGTATCGACTACTGCAAGTCTGTGATCGAAGACACAGTGGCCGAGAGTCAACAATGCGGGCTCTCGTCGCAGAATACCGCTCTCATAGTGTGTGTAGCCATCATCGTCGCCTTCTTCATAGCTGTGATGATAGCAGCCAGAATATATGCTAAGAAACAGGCTGCAGCTCTAGAGGGAGGCGCTCTTGAGTCCAAGTTCGCAGTGGCCAGCAGAGCCACGTGGGAAGCGGTTCTCGCTGCCTGGAGACAAGTGACCAACCTCATCTGGAAGAATCTAATCATCCGACGACGCAAACCTGTGGCTTTCGTGTTCGAGCTGTTCCTACCCGTGGTGTTGACGCTCGCATTAGTGTTTATTGCCAATCTGGATACAATTTTCGGTAGTGGAGATGAAAATTCTTCATCTTCAAGCTCGTCCGAAGCAGCAACACTGTCCGAGACTATTTTGTGTACCAGTCTGGACAGTTTGGAGTATACAGACTACGGTGCATTGAGTACCAACATGTCGACGTTCTACAGCAGCGGCCAGAGCGTCATTGGACTCTTTTTACTGATTAGTTATATTAAATTCGTGTCCACTACAACCACAACGATGGTGATTGAGAAGGAGACGAGGATCCGGGAGGTTATGAAGATCATGGGGCTATCGAACTTCACGTTGCTGACCTCGTGGTGTCTGACCACTGCGATTCTGGCCACGCCGCTTGCATTTGCAATTGCAGCAGAGCTCAAGTACGGCCAGGTATTCCCCATGACCGAGTACGCGACGCTAGTGTTCTTGTTCTGGGCGCTGAGCTTGTCTATCGTGAGTTTCAGCTACTTCATCACACCGTTTTTCAACAAATCCAGAGCTGCTTCGATCGCCTCGGTGTTGCTGTGGCTCGTGCTGTTCTTCCCGTTCTTCTCCGTCATGTCCAAGTCTAACTCGTCCAAGTATCTGGGTGCACTTGCACCTCCCACTGCGTTCGCGTTGGGTATTGACGACCTGGTACGTCGCGCTCAACTCGGCAGAGGACTGGCCTACGCTATGGGATTAGTGGAGTCTCCAATTACAGTTCCTTCAGCATTCGCGATGAGCTGGTTTTTGATTCTGGACTCGTTCATATTGGTCGCTTTAGGCTGGTATTTCGACAATGTGCTGCCACAAGAGTTCGGTGTTCGTAAGCCGTGGAATTTCCTCTTTGTGAAGGAATACTGGCTTCCATCGAGTCGCAACAACAAGGATGTTGTGGTGCTCGAATCCCCCACCACAGATTCGTCGCCTCAGACGCACTATTCATTTGGATCGCCGCGTGGAGTGAGGGGGTTACTGCATCAGAGTTCGTCAGACGGATCTATTGTGATGATGAAAGACCGACCTGGACTTGTGGCATCTGTGGAACCAGTCAATGCCGTGCTGTCAGAGCAAGAATGTAAGGGGACGTGTCTGCAGATTCGAGGTCTTCGTAAAGAATTCCCATCTGACGACGGAGGGGTGAAGGTGGCAGTACACGGACTGAACCTAACTCTATACGCCGGACAGATCTCTGCTCTGCTTGGACACAATGGAGCTGGAAAAACGACGACGATCTCGATGCTGACGGGTCTGATCCCGCCTACTTCAGGTGATGCAACCCTTTACGGACGCTCCGTGCAGGCAGATTTCAATGAGCTACGCCAGATTATGGGCATTTGTCCGCAGCACGATGTGTTATTCAACGAACTGACAGTCGAAGAGCACTTGCTGCTCTTTGGGACGATGAAACACATTCCGTTCACAAGTTTGAAGGAAGAAGTGGGGCGAATGATAAGAGAAGTTGGATTGGTGGAGAAGAGGAAGGTCGCTGCTCGGAACCTCTCTGGAGGACAGAAGCGCAAGTTGAGTGTGGCGTTGGCCTTTATGGGGGACAGCAAGCTGGTCTTCCTGGACGAACCCACGTCTGGCATGGACCCGTACTCTCGTCGATTTACGTGGAACTTGCTGCAACGGAACCGTGACGACCGCGTCATTGTCCTCACAACTCACTTCATGGACGAAGCTGACATTCTCGGTGATAGGATTGCCATTATGGCTGACGGTCAGCTTTGCTGTGCTGGTAGTTCCCTGTTCTTGAAGAACCGGTATGGTGCTGGATACAACTTGACTATGATCAAAGCGCCTGGATGCGATGTGGAGGTGGTGGGTGCGTTCTTGCGCAACTTTGTGCCTGAAGCGAAATGCTTGAGTAACTTCGGTTCGGAGGTTGTGTTCCAGCTTCCTTCGAAGTCTTCTGGAGTGTTCTCGACGATG